TACTATTAGTCTTGTTAACCTTAATAAATCACTTTTAAAGTATACACTCACTTCATGGGCATAAGTTGCTAGTGCTGTGTTGGCCCCTATTTTGCCTTGAGAACTCCTTTAATTCCTCATGGCATAGATTCGGCAAGGTGCTGGAAAGCTTCCTCAGAGACACAGGTCCATATTGATATCATAGCATCGCGCAATTGCTGTAGTTATGTTGGCTGCATATGAGGTGACTCTACTGTTCCACCACAAACTCAAAGTTGTTCTGATGGATTGAGAACTGATGATTGCAGAGGCAATTTGAATGCAATGAAGTTACTTTTGTTATGTTCCAGAGGCCAGTTTAAGATGACTGGAACTTGTGACAAGGTACATTATCACCCTGGAAGCACCCATCAGAAGATGTGTACACTGTAATAACAAAGGGATGGACACGGTCAGCAACAATACTCAGGTAGGTTGTGGTATTTAAAAGATGCACAAAGCCTCGATTATACTAAAGCCTTGATTATACTCCACTGCAGACATAGAAAGCTGGACTTACCTGATGACCAAATAATCATTCCTGTTAGACTGCCATCTGGAGTGCATGCTCAGTTGGTACACTGCAATGTAAATTCTTGGTGGACAAGTCTGGTCTGTGCAGTCAAAAAAAAAAAAAAAAGGCCAGATACATGGACGTCCGCACAGATCGTCACACTCACTGTCTGATGGCAAAATTTAAGCCACTCGGACATGGGCACATCCAAGCAGAGTTATGGATGCTGAAAGTATAGTTGAGGCTTAAGAGGTTCAAAATGTCCCACATCATTACACCACCAGCTTGAACCATTGATACAAGGTAGGATCAGTCCATGTTTTCATGTTACCAAATTCTAACCCAACCATCCGAATGTTGCAGCAGAAATTTAAAGGACTGGCAACATTTTATAATTTCCTGTTATCTAATTTGATGAGGATGTGTGAATTATGGCCAATGTTTCCTGTTTTAGCTGACTGTTGTGTAGCCCATATGGTTTAATGTTGAATGTGTTTTGCATTATGAAATACATTTCTACATACTTTGTAACAAGTAGTTATTGGAGTTATTGTTGTCATTCTATCAGCTTGAAGTAGTTTGACCATAATCCTCTGACTGCTGACATCAACAATGCATTTTTTTCCCCAATTAACTGCTGTTTACTGAATATTTTCACTTTTTTGAACCACTCTCTGTAAGCCCTAAAGATGGTTGCACAGGAAAAACCCAATACACCAGCAGTTTCTCAAATATTCAGTCCAGTCCATCTGACATCAAAAAAACAAGTCACTTAAATAAGAATTTTCCATTATTCTAAGGCTCGGATTGAATTTCAGCAGCTCATCTTGACCATGTCTATATTTCTAAAGGCTTGGAGTTGCTGCAATGTGACTGGCTGATCAGATATTTCCATTAACACGCAAATGATCTGGTGTACCCAATAAAGTGACCTGTAATTGGATATATTTGAGGTAATAATCTATTACACGCAAGTGTTTTTTATTTGTTACATCAGATTTTTCCCCCATTGTTGAACTAGTCTTAGAATGGTTTTTAATTAGCATTTTAACTAATGATTCTTCTTTTCTGAAGCAAAACTGGTTGGAAGGCTCTTAAGATGCTCATGAGTTTCTTAAGCAAAGCAGGAAGCAGAGCAGCAGGAAGATATGAAGTAGGAGAAATATTCTTGTGTGCCGAAAAGCAGTAAGTTAATAAAACATGACAGATTTTGAAAGGATAATGATTACGGCTGACCTTATTTGAGATACCCGGTAATATTGCTATATGGAAGAAATGAAAGTGGACATGGAAAAATTCAGCAGTGGAGCAAAAATAAAGGTGTGTCAACCTTCTACGAAACAAAGTAGTATAGATTTTTATATTTTTTTTCACCACAGACCCTAGTTTTACAGCAGATTCAGTATGACTTAATACTTTTAGTGAAGAAATTTTGTCTAATATTCTCACACTCAAATTTGTCAGCAGAAGAAATATCCCTCTCAGGTATAAGTACACAGTTGTAGGAATCACAACTTTAAAATTAAAGGTCATACATAGCCACGTAGTTTTGACTAGACATCTGTTTAGGTCACACATGAAGGTTAAGCAAAGAAAACACACAGTAATTAGTGAGCTTCAATGTGATATACATTTTCACTTTGCACAAAGCAAGGTTGCTTGCCCCTTCTTCTACTCTTTATGTTATGTAATTACTGCTTGTATAACATAAAAATATATATTTCCTTCTTGGTGCAAAATTCCTCCAAGAACGGATGGAAGTCACAAAAAATAGCAACCTAAACCTTGATATCCACCATCATAGAATAAGTGTGACTATATACATGGAGCACTAAAGAGAGTACATAGTTGGAGTTTGTGTTGAGGCTAGCCTAGAGAAATGTGAACAGCCAGTCTGACTATGTTGGACTACAAAATACAACTGAAAGCACATTTTAAATGCAATGCTTTGGGCTTTGGGCAAATCAGAGTAGCTGTTAGACATTAAGAATGTGAAACATGAAGACACAGGTCAGCTCTCTTTCAGTAGAAACATGACCTCCTGGTCTTGGAGAAAAAAATCTAAATGGTTTTAAAATCTATGTATCTGTTCTGCCCTAATTATGTTACTGGTTGTATTTATTTAATTTCAACCACATTTAATTGTACCTGAGAGCAATAGCATGACGCTATTGAAGCTAATTCTGGTTAAGCTAACCTGGGCTAACCTGGGCAATATTTTGACAGAGGTTCAGTGATACATGTGGGGCGAACTAAATATTACAGCAGTGTGCAAAAATCTTTAGCTATCTCTCATTTTGAGGTCTGGAGTCTCAAGGAGGCCAGTCCATGACTGATAGTCTCCCATTGTGTGTTATGCTAGCTAGGTGTGGTTTTACTATATTTCCAGTGAGTTTTGGATCATTTTCATGCTGACAACTTAAGTTGTTGCCCATCACATTCTTTCCAGATGGTATTGCGTGGTGAATCAAACTCTGATGGTACTTCTCTATGCTCATAATTCCATCAATTTTAGAAACATGTTTGGAAAGACAGAACTGACTGAAATACAACTCCAAACCATGCTAAGACATGCCAAGTTATAGGCTAACAGCTCTTTGACAGTAACTTTGTTGGTACAAAAATATTATTTTCTCAAAGAGTATAATCTTCAGTATTTTTGTGATTTGAAATGCAAATTATAAGGCATATTGAGAAAATATTAAAAGCTCAAAAAAGAGGGACAAAATTAAAATATTTAATCTTTTAAAAAATTACAAGATTAAAGATTAAAAGACCTTTAGAAAGCCCAAAGAACTATTGCTATTGTCAAACATGAAGATATGAGAGGTGGTTTTAGACTTTTGGACAGTATTGTATATTTAATACAATATTTGTGATGAAAACATTGGTCATTTCTTTTCCCGCATAATGAAAAGGTTCCTTAAAAACGTACAACAGAACACCATGCAGCTGCATCAACACATTAGCGGACCACAAGGTGAAGCTAGCAGCAGACGCGTAAGCCCTGTTATATGTTTCCATAAAACACTACCCCCCAAAAAATACAGTCATATCAGACTGACCTGCCTCCCTGCCTGCTGCTTCTGTTACATCTCTAATAGGAGGAAATGGCTTGTGGTGAGGAGAGGATCCAGCCCTTCTGTGGGAGTTTAATTCAATCACAGTGCTGGTCAAAAATGAATTAAAACTCTCATTAAGCCCCCCTCCTGTGTTCCAGAGACTAAGCTGGCTGCTAAGGCTCACAAGTATGATTTGGGTGTTACACAGAAGCATCAGTCAGCTCTGGAGCTATCTGTCTGTGAGTCAGCCATCAGTCACTAAGTCCATCATTTTTGTTATTTTAATTTGCAGCACTCACCCACACAGTGCACCCAATGAACCTAGTTGTGGATGATCCAAACAAGCTGTGGACATCTTGTTGTTCAACCTGAGTGAGTCACAGTGTGGCAAAATTGAGACTTCATATCTCATTGAGCACAATGAAGATTATACACCACGATTCACACCACAAAATCGTTGACCTTTCCGCAGCACACTGTAACTAACCACTTTGCACTCTGGTCATTTATTGTATAAAGTCTCGTTCTGTGTCAGTGGGAGAAGGGGGAGCTGGTGTGCTGTAACGTCAACTCTGCCTCGAGCCATTTATGTGTTTCTGCTCCAGGACCAATTGAGCTTTGCTTTGTTGCTTCTGTGAAACATCCATTATCACTGGATTCACACTGATACACTGTTACGTCTATTGTCAGGACACCATAGCTTATTCTATTATTGAACAATGATTGTGCTGTACTTATTTTGGTGTAGTGTGCACTTAAAAGAATGAATGCGGTGTGAACAAATTTGTTTTCACATAAATTGTGCAAGACATTGAGATTCTCAGCTACTTAAAATATGCACAATGCAAGGGGGCTCCAAGCAAGATGATATAAGGCAGATAGATGCCTGGTGTGTGTGAGGGGGGTGGGGGTGCCATCTTTTCCCTCTCCGCCCATTAACCATGAAACATGAGCTCCCCCTGCTGATCTAAAAATACAAACGGTGTTGCCTTCAAGGGCCAATGATTTAAAACAACAACAAAGAACAAAAAGGTCATTGTAAATCTGAGGAATTGGACTTAATAAACATAAATAAATTTTTTTAATCGCACAAAAAAACGACAAAAAAGTGGTTCTATAGACAATGTGATTAACAATTATTCTGTCTGGCCTCTCAGAAATAAAGTCTCCATTTTATTAATTAATTTGCATCAGGTAGGTTTTCTGTTTATTTTTCTTTTTTATTTAAGTATCAGCATTTTTCTATGATAATAGGTGTTTGTCTTTTGTCAGCTAGTCAGATTCCTCTGTGCTGAACTGCATACAGGGATGCATACAGGTTTTTATTTGGTCAACCTCGTGGAAACCAAAAACTCCCCCGAAGGCCGCAGTAGTTTCCGAGGCGTACCTGAAGGTAACATATCGTTGTCGTAAGTGTGTTGAATGACGTAGAACAGCCCTCAGTCGTGCTTCATACACGTGTGGAGCTAGTTTGTGGATAGATAGGATTTTAGGGAATCACAGTACCAAAATTCGAAATTTCGAAAGGTCCTGCTAACTGTTTGCGTCGCTGACGATCCTTTTACAGAGGAGTCTTTGGTTGCGGAATATTTCGGTGAGTTGAAATCTGATAGAGATACAGAGGTTGTGGTTGGCTAGGTAGAAAATTATGTCAAGGTAAACGAATATGTCTCGCTTCCGGTAAGAATAAAACAAAATAAAATTCTACTCGGAATTTCTTCTTAATATTATTGTAGAAATGATTGGTTATATTACGACTCACATTCTCGTAACAAGAAACATAGGGCTTAGTTTAGACTTGGATGGCAACGTTTAGAAATTTGAGAATATAAATTGTTATGTGCGCGTTTTTAAATACCCAACTTCGCTTTTATTTTGAAAGCCTTGTTGGGTATCGTAACAATTTGGCAGGCTTGATAGAAATGGAACATTAGCCACCCTTTGTAGTTAAAGAAACTAACGAAATTGGTACCTTGTTTAGCAAATCTTAAGCATCTCCTTTGTCTATTTTAGATACTAATGACCGCCTTGGTCTGCTGTAGCTGAAAATAACTCCCGTAACGATGTTGACCATTAGCTAAAAGCTAGTTGTACCGGCTGGTTGTACCGGCTTTGCAACTGTGCCGCGCGGTCTGCTTGTGCTCCATGCTTCATGTATAAAAAAAACCCGAAGTTTTTCAGGGTTGTAATACGACACAGTATGTTTGTAGACATACTTTGAAACACATTTAGTTGTCGACCTTCGAGCCTATGTAACGTTACTTTTATTTTTACTTAAGTTCTATTTACCTGAAAACAACAAAATTAGTGTGGGGTCCATTTTTTTGTACAAGAAGGAGGACATACGTGGTCTGGTCTGTTAACTTTACTGAGTTTTTCTTTGCTGAATACTGATTTGTTCATATTTAGCTTTCCTGTTAAACATTTGCACATCATACGTATATTGCAATGTAACGCAGCTCAATAGGCAGTATGACAATGTATGATAATGGCCGCAAAACTTTCTAACTCGAGGTTCACCAAATTCCAAAGCTTTTAACTACTTCATTCTTTAGCAAGTTGGCCTTTCCTTCATTCCAGTATTATTTTAATACACAATCAAGTTGAGTTTGGTATGAAAATGAAGAAAATGTTTTTAAAAAGTTCTTATTTTTAGCAATGTATCTTGTTTTGACCAGCCACGTGTCCCACATGGTTAAAGTTTACCTAAAAAGACGAAACCTTTTATATCCACTAAATTATTAGAACACAGACACACAACTGGTCTTTTACATCAAAAACATTAAAATGGTACCATTAGATTATTCACTGTCATATATCCCACTGTATTAAGACTCAAGTTGAGGATGAAAACAAAAAGGATTTTGCCATTAACTTGCAATATGAAAGTGACATCAGTTATTTCCATCCATTTTGCTCTGCATGTGGTATGTAATGTAACAAGTGCTTCAGCGTGGAGTCATTTGTTTACAATGGGGTTACAATTATAATACACCAGCTACTAGCATCCCAGACTTTGCTGCCTGGTTGCACATTGTTGTATAGCATAAAAATTTGTACTGGTGTCATCGCAGACAATATGATACAACACAGCCCTAGGATGAAGGTAGCAATTTGCTTCACTTTATTTGATATGCTAAAGTTATTCTACAAAGAAGCCACACAGACGCACGCACACAAGTGAAGACACTCAATGATTTTTTTTGTTTTTGGTCATAGACTGAACAAAGTAGAATTTGGCTTGGTCACATGATAACTGTTTAAGGGAAACAAGATTGTAGTCACTCATGCTCAAAAGTAATGGCTAACCGCAACTAGAGGTTGAAGCCAATATATGCTAATACGCTACATTGTTATAATCGTATCTTATCTTTGTTTTTGTCTGGCAATTCTGGTATTTCATCTTATCGCATGATATGATAATAGCCTATCTAGGAACCTTTACTTTGATAAGGTCTTAAGAGGAACAATGGATCAATAAGTGAATGCATCAATAAGACCAAAGTGCCTGGAGAAAATTGAACAGCAACAACAACTGAACAAATATGTTATCAACAAACAAAGAATTATTCATTCACATTTAATGTGGGCCAATAAGTTACTGCGGGTAAGCTTCTGAAAATGACTATTTTAAATGTCTGACTAGTTATTAGTGGTTTCTGTTGCTTTCTAATCACTCATTTACCTCCAGGTATCAGAGCAACAATGATGAAGTACATCCTAGTAACTGGAGGAGTCATCTCAGGTATCGGCAAAGGCATCATTGCAAGCAGTGTGGGCACGATCCTCAAGTCATGTGGCCTGCATGTGACTGCAATTAAGATTGACCCTTACATCAACATAGATGCAGGCACTTTTTCGCCCTATGAGCACGGTATGTCAGCAGAGATATTCAGTATAAATGAACATGTGCAGGCTTGTCATCTAATTTTTTACCCCTCACTCTGTCCAGGTGAAGTATTTGTGCTGGATGATGGGGGCGAGGTTGATTTGGATCTGGGGAATTATGAACGCTTCCTCGACATCCGGCTGACAAGAGACAACAACCTAACCACGGGCAAGATCTACCAGTCAGTCATCAACAAGGAGAGGAGGGGAGACTACTTGGGCAAGACTGTGCAGGGTATGCAACGGTCAGGTCATTTAGAGAAGGATGGTAATGTCAAAGATGAGTCATTAACCGAACACGCATTTTATGCTTTGCTCTTTTCCAGTGGTGCCACACATCACAGATGCAATCCAGGAATGGGTTATGAAACAGGCACAAGTGCCAGTTGATGATGACGATATAGAACCTCAAGTGTGTGTAATTGAGGTAGGCTGGCTGCTCGAATGAAGTATGATTATATGAAAAAAGCATTTTTTTTCTATGCTGATTTGATTTCTTAATCCTAAAAACAGGTTTCTTTTCAATAACATGTATTATTACATTTGCATAATTACACGTTAGAATGGCGTGGTGCTAGCTAGCTAGCTAGCCAGGTAGGATAACCCGTGAAATACAGTGGCTTGCAAAAGTATTCGGCCCCCTTGAACTTTCCCACATTTTGTCACATTACAGCCATAAACATGAATCAGTTTTATTGGAATTCCATGTGAAAGACCAATACAAAGTGGTGTTGGTCTTTCACGTTTGCACGTGAAAGCTAAACCAGTTCCACACCACTGAAGCTGCAGCATTTTTACAAACCAATTCTGGTTCATCCGTTTCATTCAACGATCCGCTTTCACTCTTCTCATTCGTATGTAAACAAAGGCACTGCGCATGCGCATTTTACCTATATTCTATCGCGATATTTCATTTTCCTATTGTTGCCCAAAATTACACCGGTATTACCGTGAACGGTATGATATAGCTCAGCCCTACTTCTGAGTATAAAACCACCACAACAACATCCAGTGTATTTTAGGGTTAACAGCTGGGAAGACCTCGTCTGCTACAGAACGTCCAAGAAGAGAAAATAGTAGCCGTGACGCATCAATCAGACTTTATGTTGCTTGGTGTTTGTTTACATAACTGTTTGGCTATACAGAGGGATGGATTGTGGGAATACGACTTGCTCAGGTGGTTGTGGGGTTTTTTCAAATAGTTACACAATCTCCCTCCGTATATCTCTGAGCTTCTGTGCTGGAATGTAATTAAAATGGCAGTAAAAACTGGCATGATAATACATTTGTGTCTTCAGCCCAGCTACGACAGCTCCAGCCAAATGTGCCAGGTTTCAAAAATCGAGAGGTGCACGACATATGCGTCAGGGATCACACTGTGAGCATAAAAAAAACCACCCTTACTATTCAGTATTGAAAGCCAATTATAGTCCACACCATCGGTCTGCGGGAGGGAAAACTCATGAGTGTGGTAGGATAACCTGCTCTGTTATAGTGTCTCACTTGGTACATTTTCAGGAGTGTGGTATGCCATAAAGCGTAATATCAATAGGCTGTTAAGGGCTGAATAACTGTCATTGATCACCAGAGATTCCCTGCATTTTGATTAAATGTCATTAGTGTCTAGCTTTAATATTGTGTAATCCCCCCCCCCGCCTTGATGGTCACTGCCAGTGTTTGTGTGTTTGTAGCTGGGAGGGACTGTCGGAGACATAGAGAGCATGCCATTCATCGAGGCCTTCAGGCAGTTCCAGTTTAAAGTGAAGAGGGAGAATTTCTGTAACATTCATGTCAGTTTGATACCACAGGTAAGACAGCCATACTTTTATATCTCACCTTACATTTAACAAACATGTGAAACTGCTGCATACCTGAATGTGGCTTTAATGCAAATATGCACTCTTATTCAGCCCTGTTCAAAAAAGGTGAGTATTTAGTAAGAAAAATACTGAAAGTTGTGCCCAGATTTTTGTTCTGCTTTAATGAGGTGTTGCTTAGATACTTCTAAAAAATGAAACTAGCTTTTAGAGGGTGATTGTTGTAGACTGTCTCATTATGTACCGGTTTGTTGTTTGCATGGTTGTGTCCAGCCCAGCGCAACAGGAGAGCAAAAGACCAAACCGACACAGAACAGTGTGAGAGAGCTGAGAGGCCTAGGCTTGTCTCCTGATCTGGTGAGTGAGTTGCTATTACATAAACATGTTTGATGCCTCATTTGCATTTAAATTACATTTCTGAATTAAAATGGATTTTTGAGTAGCATGTTTTACATGTTGAAACCCAGATGTTTTATGTGCAAAACATTCTTTGACTCTTAATTCATAATTTCAGTATAGGCAACCAGGGATTGGAGTGCCATGAAAGTATTTGCCCTCTTTCCTGATTATCTAGGGGGGGTTTTGTTTTTTGCATATTTGACACATTTCAGGTGCCTGAACTTTAAATGCTGCTCCAATCTGCTTCTTCAAATGAAAATTGGATTAACCATTTATTACCGCTGTGTGGAAAAATTGTGCAAACTCTTTGTACAGTCACCATCAACCAACCACGGACCCTTAACTGTGATTAGTAATTGGAGTGCTAGCATTCTGATAATATTGCAAGCAGTTTTGTGTTTGTACATGATGTATTTGCACTAAAACATGACCCCTTTAAAGGATAAAGCAAGACTATTAGATCACTGGTATAGTGGGGTGATGCGTTCATGCTGGTACTCTGCATTGATGATATGATGGTTTTAACTTCCTGGGAAGCTTTTCTGAAACAGAATGGACATCATCCTGCTGAAACATTAAATCAAGGAAAAAATTAAAGCCTCCTTGCCTACAAGTCACAGTACAAAAAAAGAGAAATTTAGTCAGAATGGAGATGGAGGCCATTGCCAGCTTGCACATAATCAGGACTGTAAGATGAAGAAAGGTGCTCACACAGATTTCTATAAATTTAAAAAGAGAAGTCATGCAAGAGGACACATATTTTCTTACTTGAACCCAGCCTCATGTGTGCTACATGTGGCGAAGTTCAAATTTGGACAAACTTGGAATTGGATCTTTAAAGGTTTTTCTGATTGTTTGTTTTTCACTGGCAGATCATGTGCCGCTGTACAACTGCGCTGGAGAACTCTGTCAAGGAAAAGATCTCAATGTTCTGCCACGTGGAGCCTCAGCAGGTAGGTGAAGCACCTGTCAGGCTCGATTAAGCCATAAAGCTCTCTCCATAAACATCTAAAATGGATTACCTGTCTTCTTCCAGGTCATCTGTGTGCACGATGTGTCATCTATCTACAGAGTGCCATTACTGCTGGAAGATCAGGGTGTGGTGAGCTACTTGAGCAGGAGACTGAATATGCCAATAGAGACCAGACCAAGGAAGATGCTGACTAAATGGAAGGAGATGTCTGACAGGTGAGTGAGCACCTTTGTGGGTTGAACCTTTCCCATGAGAAGTCATTGTCCTCCAGAGAAGACTGAGAAATAAATGGATGCCCATATTTTTCCTCACAGGTCAGACAGACTGCTAGAGCACTGCTCTATCGCACTGGTGGGGAAGTACACAAAGTTCTCAGACTCCTATGCTTCTGTTATAAAGGCTCTCGAACACTCTGCACTCGCCATCAGCCACAAGTTGGAGGTTAAGGTATGTACACAGAATCATAGTCTTTAGTCTCAAATGATCTAGACATGGTTCAAAGTGAAGCCAGCTCCTCCTAGATTTAGTCCTTCCTCATTGTATTCCATGGCTATGACAGTCTTTGCAGTACCCTGAAGTTTAAAGGTATTACGGCTCTAGAGTAGGGGAAAGTGTTGATAGTTATGATTAGTGATTAAATAGTTGATTTTAGTTTGGGGTTTTTGTTTGGTTGTTTGTTTGTTTTTGGGAGGGGGGGGGTTGTTTTAAACAACTTGACTTGTGCCTTTAGACCAATCATGTAAGCTGTGAACATCTCTTCTTCTCAGTATATAGACTCTGCTAATTTGGAGCCAAGCACTCTGCAGGAGGACCCAGTGAAATACCACGAGGCGTGGCAAAAACTCTGCAGCTCTGAGTGAGTGCCCTGTAGGAGCACAATGTCCTGTCTCACTAGATAATCTAGCCTGAATATTAAAATGGAACTTTTATCAACATGACAATGTTTCCACTGTCCTCAGTGGCATCCTGGTTCCTGGAGGTTTTGGTGTGAGGGGAACTGAAGGAAAGATTCATGCCATCAACTGGGCCAGGAAACAGAAAAAACCCTTCCTCGGTACAAGAGTTTCTGTGGATCACATTACATGTTTTATTATCTTACTCCATATTTAATGTCAGTAAGTAGCAGCATCAGAAACACTACTTGACTGGTGTTCATATTTCTGCAGGTGTGTGTCTTGGAATGCAGCTGGCTGTATGCGAGTTTGCCAGGAACGTGCTCGGCTGGACAGGTAATGTTTCTGATATTATCTTCACAGTAAAGAAGAAGAAACAAAGCAGCATTACCTTTTAATGTGAATGCTGAGTGATGTAGGTGATTAATAAATGATTGAAATTTCATAGATGAAAAGTGTATATTGTTCCATGTATACAATAATTTTGGATGGATAGGTAATGAACATAGGATCTATATCTATGCTAAGTTTCATCATTGAGATTGTTTGTGGGTACGTATAGGTAGATCCAAAGAGGACCATTATAATCTGATTGTGTGTCCTTGTGTGTGGAGGAATAAAAAAGAACCACATTGCCTACTTCGTTTTTCAGTCAAAAGTCCCGATTTTCCTGCAATACTCTTGATCTCAATTGTTAAGGTTCGCCTGGAATTGGGCAAATTTTTTTTTTCTTATGTCATACTATTTTTGTGGGAAATTGCAGCGCCAGTTGTGCCTGGAAATGTATTTGGGGGGGGGGGAACAAGTACTTGTTTCTTTAGCAGCTTAACCAGCAAAGGTTCAGATGTCTGTTCCCGCTGTGCATCAGTCCAGTTCTTGTACATTTAGTTTTGTAAAGGCGGTTCCTATAATACTTAAACCTAGCCTTCTGATCTTCAAAAACGTTACTGCTAACTTCAATAAATTAATAAACTCACGCCATAAACACTGGTTCCAGCCAGTGTCCGCCTTCTTGTCAACTTTGCAGCAGCCGTAATGCTAACATTGAACCTTGAAAATACAGAAGATAGTCTGTCAAAACGTGTTTGTTACAGCATAGTTATTTGAGAGAGGTGTGGGAATGGGAGCTTTCTTCAAAGCATAGTCAGTTTTCAGCTTGAAATGCATCTCCTACTCATAAAAGGTGGGCACTGGTGGCTGACTGTTGATTAAAATAACTAATGGCATATTGTTCCGTTTCATACTTAGATGCCAACTCGACTGAATTTGACCCGGAAACAAAGCATCCTGTGGTAAGTTTTATGCATTGCACAAACAACCTGACTCCTGCATGCACTGTAACTGTATATTAAAATCCATCCTTTCATTTTAATCTTTGCAGGTGATTGATATGCCAGAACACAACCCCGGACAGATGGGTGGCACCATGAGGCTTGGGAAAAGACGGACCATTTTCCAAACCACCAACAGCACACTGCGTAAGAAAAGCTTTTAGTTCAACCTGGACCAGCCGGTGATGAACTGTTGCTCTGTGCTTACAGCTCTTCTGTATTCCAGGAAAGCTCTATGGAGATGCAGAGTATGTGGATGAAAGGCACAGACATCGATTTGAGGTAATGCTGAACTAATATTTCATCATCATTAAGTGTTCAGTGCAGAAACAGGAAATTGGATAGAGAGTTAGTGGGGGACAGACGTATAAGCAAAGGGCCAATATGGGGTTGAACCCAAACCTGCTCAACCTGTGATCCAAATGTATACCTTGTTTTTGTGAACAGGTCAATCCTGAGCTTAAGAGCCACTTTGATGAGAAGGGCTTCCGGTTCGTAGGTCAGGATGTGGAAGGAGAGAGGATGGAGGTCATTGAGCTTGATGGTACAGAAAAGCAAACAGAATTATTTTCAGTTTTAATATATCAACCTTTTCTGTGAAACCTTCAACAGACTCTGTTTAAAATTGTTTTCTCCACTTCCAGATCACCCATATTTTGTTGGTGTGCAGTACCATCCCGAGTTCACTTCACGCCCCATCAAGCCATCACCCCCCTACCTTGGTTTGTTGCTTGCTGCTGGTGGGAAGCTGCAGAGCTACTTGCAGAAAGGCTGCCGTCTATCTCCACGGTAAATAGAGTGTATGTCTCAGTTTACTCATTTTCTAAAGGTATGCATACTAATTGAGACTGCTTCTGTGCCACACAGGGACACATACAGCGATCAGAGCGGCAGCAGCACACCAGACTCCGAGATATCAGAACTGAAACTTCCTTCACTCTCCAATGAATGACCCATCTGTGGAAGATATCTTAATTAAGTGTCCTACCATCAGTTGTCTCAAGTGTTGGAAAACTGTACTGTTCACAGATAGGGCTGGCATTTCCTAGAGTACAGAAGTGACTACAGGCAGCTGCAGATTAAGTTATGGGACTTTCAGCTCTAAACTACGCTCATGAAACGAACACCACTGAAAACCCATAGTGTTTAAATAAAATTTAAACTGTTACTATTCATTTTTGCTCTTCCTATCAATGTTACAGAAACTAATTAGAGTGGTTAACTTCAGTTGTCACTCATTTCTACAACAGCACTTTAGAAACTGGTTTAACAAGGGAGTTATTGGTTTCCAGATTATCTTGTAAGTTTAATTACTTTAATGGATCATAGCTGAAGTTTAGCTTAACATCGTCACATTTATTGCAACAAGTAAGCAATAATTGTGACTTAGTCTACCTATTTTGCTTTTTGTACAACTCCAAGTCGAGGTCTCCAATTAGGTCACCCACTGCAGGCATACAACATGGTGTGATTAGCTTTCTACTCCTGCTTCATTGACTTTCACAGGGTTTGTCACCTGTGGCATACTGTTGTAAAGAAACTGTTACTTTTGTTTCTGATGCCACTCTACCACCACAGTACTGTTGTGGCCTTAATGTAAATAAATGTGCTACAAACGGTTTGTAGCATAGTTCAATGTCTCCATTCTTTTGATCATGTTACAGACAAGTTTCCAGAGGTAGTAAAGTCAGTTTTATTACAATCTGCAATTGTCACACACACACAGGGTTCATTTTCTTAGGTTCAGCCCTTAACCTCTTAGGACCTGGCGTCCACATATGTGGATGTCACATTTTTGGCTTATTTAGACCATTTAAAAAAAATATATATATGCATGCCATGGAAGAGTTCAGGTCTTAGGAGGTCAAAGAGCCAGGTCAACTCATGCATTTCACAGCTGCAAGAAAGCTCCGATCTAAGTTGGTTTTCTTCAGTAGTGTTTGTGCCTAGCCGGAAAGTTGGCAGCAATTCTCTCATGGAAATGTCACGTCACTCCCAACGTAGCACCATACCTGAAAAATAAACACCTCAGGTTAGCCAAATTCAGAAACTTTTTGTAAACATTCTCATTATGCACTGATCTCAGTCCCATATCCGCAAGCTTCATCCAGAAGTCAACAATGTATTAAGGTCATCATAGATCAAAATAACCACTGACCAATTTCAGCATCAACATACCTGTAAATTACAGATGTGAATGTACTTTGTTACAGCTCTGCAACACCAAGAGGTCAAGCGGATAGACGCCTGAAATTTAATTTAAAAAAAAAAGTGAGATCACAAGTTGCATGTTAGCTTAGTCTATTTTTCTAGCAGATGTCTGTTGGACAGCTGAGTGGCTGCTGATGGCACAGAGTGGCCACAGCAGTCAAAGACCACCCTGTTTTCTTGCATGCACTTGGAGAGCATGGAGCTACAAACAAGCGCCGACCCTTAGGATAGCATGCTGGAACAGGGACATAAGTGGCCTTTTAATATTTAAAAAAAAAAAAAAGTGAACTCTTACCTGAATGAGCAGTTTTCATTTACAAATGACAGGTCTCCATTCACCTAACAAGAAAATTTGGTTAGTCGTTTTGCCCCAACAAACATTGATCAAAGTCAGTCAATCCCATCAAGTTTTAATAAATGTGGCTCAGGAAGAATAAGTCTCAATCAAGACTAGATCAGTGAGGGCAAGTTTGTCATCACAGCCAGGATTGTCTGAATTATTTTGAAGAGTTACCTGCATGTTGTGTTCTCATTTGATGGTTTTGGTCTTGCACCTTTGGTGTCACCCAGTACCTATTGGAAGACAAGGCAAACCACTTACATTTCTTTGAAAGTTTGCATTTAATCCTGGGATAACTCACTGATCAATGTCCTTCCCCTAAATGTTGCTGTAGCAGTCATTTTCAAAACCGAACAGCGACCGTCGGTGAAAGTCTTCATGTCGGCTTCCTTTTGACCGTTCACTGCTACATGGGAGCATGAACGGCTTCGATAGGAGCCTTTTCACGATGGGACAGCTAGTTTTAATTTAAAGACTCACCTGCATTCTGCATATTGGGAAACAAGGTTGAACTGCCATTTCAAATAGACCCTAGAGACAAAAGAAGATTAAAGATTAGTTATGTTGAAAACAGTTGCCTGTGCCATCACCTTTTATAACAAACTGCATTTAGTCTAATTTTGATTCTAAAGGTAGTTTAAGTTTGTTACAATGACATCAATGCTATTAACGTCAGAGGCCTTAAAGGCTAATGTTTATTAAAATGAGCTAGCATAAATGGCTTTGATTTTGTCTGATTTCCATGCCACCCTAAGAAAATTTCTCAAGATCCACCCCTGGCCACGTGGTACAAACCCATTAGCGTCCAAGCTAAGCTATCAGCAAGCTAAGCTATAGCTAACCCTTAGCATGGTCACTAAAGCCTAGGTATATCTACTGTCGAGTTCCCAGTTATATGACAAGTCAGCAAGAAGTGTTGATTATAAAAACAAGACTATACTACATATCCCAAAGTATTAACTAGTCAAGCATTATGGCTGTAGATACAAGCTAACGTAAGGTCGTTCACTCACGCTAAAAGCGCTATATTAATGTTATAACAAAAATAATGAGTTGTGTCAAGGTGGACTGGATTTAAAAGCTGCGCATAATTAATGTAAACACCTGGACACATGACCTTAATAATCGACAACACCAGCATAAAGCTTACCATAGCTCTTTCTTGGGGACTTCAGCTCACATGGAAGACTGCAGGAGGAAGAGAGAACGCGGCAAGGCCCGCTGTTCTTATATACTCACTCTGATGTCCGTCAGCGGTGCGCTGATTGGCTCGCGTTACTCACGCGGACCGGTTGAATAGTGGGATATGTAGTATCACACTCCTCCTCCTTCTTCTGTTTTTTAAGCAATGCCTGCTGTATTTATTGAAGTTTACTGAGACTCAGGCAATAGGGTTTTACACTTAACTAGCCACGCATTTTTCACAGAGTACAACGGCACAGAATAAACTGTGTGCAATTAGAGAAATATGCTGTAAATCCAGACCATCGTCGGAAGTGAATATAGGCTACTTCAGAACCAAGGACAGCAACACACTGCGTGTTTTAGGGTTTGTGATATCAATAGTGGACGATATATTAAATAAATGGGGGTGGTTAAGGAAACTCTGTGCAAAACATGCCCAAGACGGACCTCATATAGATATATTGTTCTGTTTTTGCTGCTTTTAAACTTCCTATAAGATTCTTTTACAAAATACACAGGCCAGATTAGGTTGTAGCGGGTTTATTGGAGTGATATTCGACTAGTAGAGCATAGGTAAATCTATCACATGACTGCTGCGGCCGCTCTGTGCTCCGCGTCTCTTCCTGAACAGAAGGCAGTAGCAGCAGCTGGGGCTCCATGTAAACACGCCGCGCGCAGGGCTTTGTTTCACACACACTCACTCCGCAGGTATCTTCCCTCTAGTCATGCCATGGATATTTTGTGGCAATATCAGTTTCGAATCATTCTACTCGGGGATTCCACAGTGGGCAAGTCCTCGCTGTTGAAGCGTTTCACGGATGGAATTTACAGCGATGTGGCGGACCCGACGGTCGGGGTAGATTTTTATGCCCGCTCGCTTGACATCGAACCCGGGGTGAAAATAAAGCTCCAGCTCTGGGATACGGCTGGCCAAGAACGATTCAGGTATAGTGAGGTGAAATGTATCTTATATAGAATCTATCTGAGCTAAATATGTATACAACCATAGTCCTTCAAAGAGATTTTTAAATAAATAATTGCGAGCCCTCGGTTTAATGTCGTGTTTGGCTACTATTCTCAGTCCCTTTAAATTGAATATGGGCCATTTCCCCGTCTCGTTAGCATGTAATGAAATGAGTTTAGACAGCGGAGAAAGGAGGCCAATAGAAGATATTACGATGTCCTGACCTGTATAACAACAGGACACGGCGACTTACATCATGCTTTCATGGATGATGGGCAGCCTCCTCATATTTAGGCCCCAGTTTGATTCCCTCATATACAATTTCCAGGCCTTCGCGGGGATGACAAGTCCCGATCCAAATCTATTTGTTGTTGTTTTCATTCATCTATCCTGTTGCTTGCTCTGCTTTTCATGCCCACTGTCACGGATCATTTCCTTTAAAGAACTCCTGTGTCTGGAGAAGCTCTTAGATCTGCTTTCCCTTTTGAAGCCTCTGAGGGTGTTTTCCTCCAGGCTTCACTTCACTTGTCTTTCACTTCTGCCTATCTGGCTGTAGAATCTGTGGTTTTTAAAGCATCAAATGCAGAGATCAGAGTCTGTATGTGCATATATTTTTATAAATAGAATAGTATCATGCACCAGATGTTATGACCCAAAGGATCCTTTGTGTTTTTGTATTTTATTTCACTTGATGGCATTGTTTAGTTTCCATTTAATTAAGCACATTAATGTATGAAACGTTAAAAAAAAGCATTCGCATTGCAAGTTTTGACTTCATAAAATTACAGAAATTGTTTTAAGAAGCCAAGAGAGACAGACCTTCCATAGCAATATGACTTGGATCTGTTTATTAGACCTGTACATTTCACAGACTTTGATCACAAAAAAGTCCCAAATGTTGGGTGAGGTCCAAATTTATTATCAAATTATGTATTATGCCATTCAGTGATATATTACCATCATAAATGAGGTCCTGACACAATTCACTTAAGTACACAATTTACACAATTTATTAAGTATGCTTCAGTTTTAACATATTTAACTCCCCTCATATTGAGCACACTGTCTCAATAAGTAGTTTCATCTGAATGGCAAGGCCAGCTAAAGCACAGATGTAACTCCATGAGTCTTACTAATGTAAAACACCAGTAACACAGCTTTGAAAGGAAATTCTTGTGTCATTTAAGTGGTTAGCTTGCAAATAGACAGTTGAAAGACTTAAAAGAGAGCATGCAACCACATTCCTTGACTGACTTGGAAAACAGTGTGAAAATTGATTTGGGATTGTGTCAAATGGGACTTGATCTTATCTTAGTTTCCGCTGTCTTGACATTTGAGCTTCACTTTGGCTATAATATTTTAGTTTGTTTTCTATAAACTGATTAATGGGAACTATGACTACTCTTCTATTGTAACTGAGCACTCAAAGCGCTTTTTTATACATGTCCCATTCACCTACACACACTCACACACCGAAAAGCGCATCAGGCAAGTTGGGTACAGTATCTTGCTCAACAATACTTTGGCATGGAGACTGGAAGACCTGCTCTACCTCCTGAGCTACAGCCACCCCTTTTCTTCAAAGACTTGATTTGACTCAGGGTTTGACTTGACTTGCTTTGGCAGAGAGGACTTGGACTTACCTCAAGTGATATGAATTTTCCACCACAAAAATTAAACTCATATTGTGATGTTACAAACAGCAGTATAAGGGTAGTGAACTGGTAGGAACCATCCAAGTTCATAGAGCTGTCCAAGACATTTAGAAGTTATAAGTCTAGAGATGTTTGTCTTTGGTTTCTAACACCAGTAATGTGTCTTTCCACCAGGTCTATCACAACATCATATTACCGCAACTCTGTAGGTGGCCTGCTTGTCTTTGATCTCACCAATCGTAAAACCTTCGACCATGTGAGGGAATGGCACAAGGAGGTGAGTGAGCACATCCTGCCTCACCACATGGTCTACATCCTCATCGGCCATAAAAGTGATCTCAACAAGGACCGGAAGGTGAGCAGGGATGAGGCAGAGCAGCTGGCCGCTGAGCTGGGCATTCGCTATGTGGAGACATCGGCCAAGTGCAACAGCAATGTGGACCGGGCCTTTGAGCTGCTGACCAGGGACATCTACGAGCTGATGAAGATGGGGGAGATCGTCACCCGTGATGGGTGGGATGGCGTGAAGAGTGGCCTGACTGCCAAGGTTCTCTACTCTGCAGAGGATGAAGAGTTGGCCCCTCCATCAGCTGAAAAAAGCTGCCACTGCTGACTGAGAAGTCTATGTGTTCCAACACTATCCTATCACACCAAGAGCTCACTTTGTCTCACAGCCGATCATCAAAACCAAATCACTGAGGCTTAGCACCCTGTGATATCACCATCCATCACTTCCTCACCTTGTGTTTTGTGACCTTTCTGTGTTGATTTTTCAGACCACTGGGATTATTTTCAATCAGGATGCGAGAGTAAATACCAATGTGTACCTGTTGGGAAAGTATTGTATTGTTAATTTGATATGATGTAGCATGAGTCGAGCTGTTTTGAGCCTCATCTTGCTCAAGAAAAAAAAAGAAAGCATGCCAATGTGATCAGGTGTTGTTGCTTAAAGTGTAGCCAGTACTCCTTTTCATAGCAATGGAGCTAAAGGACTACTGAGCATACGAAAGTACAAATGGACTATTATGGTCTGGCATCATCCACATTTCATATGGTACTATTATGGGTTTCTACTTGTCAAAAGTTTGTGCAATGCTTTGCCTGCAGTCTTAAGTGGCTGTAACATTGTAAATAATAGTTAAATCTATAAAGATGAGAGCTAAAGGTGACTGAAAGCTATTTAATTCATAGTGTGAACAGTGCACTCTGCAATAAGTGTCACCATATTAAATCAATGTGCTCCTCCTGCTACTGTAAGCTGTGTGTGCACTTATGCCAAATTGACCTTTGACCATTCTGTGAATAGATTAATAATGTTTTTTTTTTGTAAAAAAGTAGAGATTATTTGTAGTAAAAGCGTATACATAAACATAGATTATTGTAATTAGACTAAGTGTAACATACAACATTCACAATAGCAGTAAGTGGCAATGTGAGAAAAGGAAGTTTAAGGTCTAAATATGCCCCATTGATATAGACATAGATGATATGCACAGCAAAACCTAATGAGCTTTGATATGTTTATTGCAGGCCTCTAAACTGGCTTTAATTCAGCTTATCCGGGCCATCAGCCCAACAAATGTCATGTCATGAAACCATGACAAAGGATTTAGCTGCATTTTCTGCCTTCTTTGCTTTCATTTTCTTTTTGCTGTACAAATGAACCTGATAAAATTCTTTGTAGGGCCTTAAAAGTGCTTAGAGAATTAGAGAAAAGCTCCAGCTTAGCTTAGCATAAAGAATTGAGAGTAGTAACATGTTTAAGCAAATTAATTTTATGTTTACATTCATGGTTGCCAAAGTGCGGCCTGTGGGACAGTGGTGGCCCTTGGTAATGTTCTGTGGCTGGATCAAAACAGAATCAAACAAAGGGAGCATTTGTTGTCTGTTTTTGTTCTGGACAGCTTTATAAAACACAGTTACAGTTGTCAAAAAATGTAACAGACAAAATTGCAATTAACAACTTATAACCCCTCCCTCTGAACACCAACTAAAAGGGTTTGTGTGTATTTTTCCTGTACCGGTATCACTTGCCTACTGGTTCCCTAAACTGGCACTTTCTTGTTTAAACCATGTCTGAAAAGCCACTAAAACCTGTAGTTACCAAGTTTATCTATTACTCTTCAACAGCTGGAGGCATTCAACCAGTTAAGTTGTTAATACGCAACTGTTTTCCAAAGTCACTAATGTAAGTGTTCTGTTGTTATTGTGTTTTTTATGATGTTTTTAGACCTGTTATATAAATGTGACAAAGGAATTTCCCATTATTAATTTTCTCACGCTGATTTTACGCACATAAATATAATTCTAAAACAACAGTTTGGAGCTGCATTATACCTACACCCAAACTCACTAAAATCCCTTGTTAGCTAACAAATGTGATAAAATCTTTGTTGTGACTTTAGTTTTTCTTTGCTGGCTGGAGACACTCAAAAACTCTCTCCAGAATCCCTGCTGAATTATTAATAAGAAAAATGATTTAGACTTTTTTAAACCACAGATTCAACAAGGAAGATAAGCTGTGCATTTCAGAGGCGCTAGTATCGCTAGCTATTGTGATAGCTGTCACTCCTGCTTCCAGTCTTCATGCTGAGTTAGCCTAGTTTGCCTCTTTGGCCCCCACATATCAGTATCTTTTCAGCAAAATCCTAAAGAATATTAAATGTTTTTTGTTTTTTTTAAGGGCTACAGTAGTAGGCTATTGTATTTTAGACCTGTTATATAAGTATAACAGAAGAAATCCCTTTTATCAGTGTTCAAAAGCAGAATTTTTACCAACCTATACATAGTTAAGAAGTGCAAGTTAATCTTGCTCACATTGTTTGTTAACTAACTAATGTACTGTAGATTTTATTCAGCTGTAATGGAGAATGATTGGGTGTCTGCACACATGACTTCCAAAACCTGCAGTGAATACCTTTAACAAAGAGGATCATGAATTCCTTTAAGGCTCTAGAGGCTAATAATTTGCTGCTTGCAAGCCTGGATCTTGTTGCGTACAGTTTGCTTTCCCTGGGGCTTCTACAACACACACTACACTGTAAACAGTAAGAAAATATGCATTCTAATGTTTTTACTTAGCATTCATGTGACCAGTCTGACACTTTTTTTTCATTTGTCTGAACCAGTTAATAAAATGTACATCATGTGGTTGCAGCTTAGTATTTGACAAGGAATGTATTCTAACTCATTTCTGAAATCCCTTTTCATTTTTCATTGATTGTTTTGCACTAATTCAAACTGCATTTTTCCCCCTGGTGAAAGTCTGTGTTTGTTTGACAATCAAATGTTATCATTTTGAGTTCTTGGTATAGGTGAGGAATACAGTGTTGGGGTGGCAAGCCTTGAAAACGTGCTGAATGAAAACCAACCAGTCTGTACAACTACCTTTCTCACTTTTGCCTCTAAGGGTTACATTGTATTGTATGATACTGTGTGTTAGCACTGTGCTGTGAGCGTTACTGACGACTACAGACTCATGTAGTCGGGAGGAAAACACTGGAAAGACAGGAAGAAGTATTATTTTGAAAGATTGAATCTATGGGATAAAAAGACCAATTGAAAACTTATATATACATCAATCAACAACAGCACAAAAAATATGATTCATTTCCATCTTATTTGTAATCTTACAAGCTATACCAATACATCTGCAGTGACTAAGTAGTAATATTACTACAATGAAGGTGAATGACTAACTTTCAGTCCAACTCTAGCTTCTCTCTGTGTTCTTTGAAAACAATTTGTGGAAATATTCTTATTTGCTTTCTTTCCAATCTCTCGTTCCCAGTGAGATGACAAGACTGATGCGACATTATCTTCTAGTGTTCTGGAGTCAGGAGGCAGTTAGCATAGCTTAGGATAATGACCGCCTCCATCTGACTTATTTCAACAAATGAACTGCAAAAACACCAAGCAGCGAACACTTCTGAGCAAACAGACTTCATAGTTTGAAGACATTAAGCTGAATCGTGTAGCAGACATGCACTTAGTTTACAAAATCTAAATTTTTGTCTTTGACTTTTTCCAAACCCAGAAAAATGATTTAAATATTAGACTTTTGGTGCCAACCTAACGTGTTCCAGGGGATACACATGTAGACAAATAATCTTTAATTATTCTATCTTCAAATAGATATATTTCACTCTGCCAGTTTTGTTGAACGTATGATTTAAATGTAGCTTTGCTGTAAAAAACATACTTCCTATCGTTCCTTAAGCATCACTAGTTTATTGGTTTAGTATCACTTTTTACTATATTACACTTGGATTCAGCTTCAGCATTATTTGTATGATATAATAAACTGAAATCCAAAGCTATTCTAGCATCTTTTTTAATGCAAAAAGGAAAACGGTAGCTCTATTCAGTTTATCAAAACCTGTGTTACTAGTTTGTCTTGCTTTCCAAACTGTGCATACCCTTGGCTGTGCTGTTCAACTCCTGTTTACTTTCCACAAATTATTTTTATGTTTTAAACATATCACCAAAATTCTGTTTAATTTTTCTATATAGGAACATAAATAGTAGAAGATCATTATTCAATTCTGGCCCAATAATTTAGCTTCATAAAGTTCACCAATATGTAAATGTTTCAGTTTGTATTATGTAAGTGGAGTTATCGTTCTGGAACTATTTTTGGGTCAATCAAGCCAAAACCTAACATTTTTATATTTTCATTTGTGAGCAGCTTTTTGGAATACAATATAAAGAGTACCTTTTTGAGCTAACAGCATGGCAGTACTATCTCTTTACTGACCACAGAGAATGTGTATATCTGTGCTTTAGACTTTAACACCTGTCGAAAGAAAAGGTAAAAAGAAAATAACCTTTTTTTCTCCAGTACACACTTTTTCTTCTAACTGACTTAACCACTGCTGCTTTCTCTCTCTCGTCCCTCAAACTGGGCTTTAGAATCAGTAACCAACTATTTCCGTGGAACATAATAAACAAACATCTATTGCCAAGAGGAGCCAGAGGTGATTAACAGCATGATATGCTCCAAATATTCTATTTAACCAATCAGAAATGTCCTGCTCTAAAAGCCCGACCCCCTTGTAGCCCACTGAAACTTTGAAAAGTACTACCAAAGCTTTTTACATGCCTCTGTGTATGGACTTTTTGGTCGGTCAAATAATTCTTCCCTTTTCCTTACTTTGACAACATAGCGAGTCCATCTAAAGGTCATAGTCACTGTTGTTCCTGTTGTGGAAAAGCAGCTATTGATACCAATTATCTCTCATCAGTCTTAGAAAGAAAACAAATAAGAACATTTAAAAAAAAGAAAGAAAAAAGAAACAAATCACCCATGTAATTAATAGTGTCATATCCAGTGAACTGATCAAAATAATCACAGGTAGGGTTTCTCTACCATGTAACATCAACAGTACAGCTTCTGATCCCCCGATGGTCATGTTCCACAGTATTACTGAATAAATGTTATTTATTTTTATGTTATGTATAAGGGATATTGGTTATTAAATGAATAAATAGATGTACGTTGAATATTGTTTGGACTGGATGGTCTTCTTAACAAAGATTTGGCGCCCTCTTCTGACAGATTTAAGAAACATAATCGTTGCCTGGATTTGATTGATTTATGGTAGTTAGGGTAAAAATTTGGACAAATGTTGTTGGTGAGGTCGATCCAAACCAAGAATTAGGACCTGTATTACACTAGGTTAGCTTCAGAATATTACTGATTTTCTTCAGCTATGAGAACATCATAAAAGATCATTGCAATACTTAAATGTATATGATCGTATATGCTACTATTCAGATAACTTAGTAAATGTCCTCAAGTTGTGCCTGGGAATCTGAGCAACAGAGAACACGAACACCGCACACACACACCACAGTATTATGATCTTTCTATTGATGTGTAATTCACTTTTAATTCAGCGTAAACAGTATATAATAAAATTAAATATAACAAAGTTTTATTTTTCAATTAAATTCGGTAATCTATGTAAGGCTCGGGGAGAGGTCGAAAAACTGTCAAGATTTT